ATGGAGACAAACAATGCGGTCCAATTTTCATACATGTGCCTTTAGCTATATATAAGCAAATTGCCTTTTAAAAAGAACTTTGTGAAATATGCTAGGTATGGGTTAAGAAGATAACTTATAAAATATCTTGGATACGAAGAATAGTTATATAATTTTAATGGTTAAGAAGAATAGTTATAGATACTTATTTAGAAGAATTTGTAGATAATGGTTAAGAAGAATAGTTGTTGAAAACAGATATGGAATGAAATTAATAGAGTTTTACGTCCTACTTATCTACAACAAAAAAAAAACAGATAAGAAGATAAATAGATAAATGGTTTAGATATATATATATAAAGTTTCCTTTCCACCAGGGTTTTATCAATTACATTTTGGATAGGTCTAAATTTATCATATTCGTCTCAGTGAATCCGTATTTCGACACTGGATACTTTTTTCAATATGAGACTGGGTATGCAACACAAATTTGAGGTCCGTAGTTACGACCTCCCCCCCCCCCCCCTCCTCCTGCATTACTTCAAATATAACAACCAAGTCTGGCTACGGGTCTGCGTCTTAATGATTATTAATTCCATGTCTTAATTATATTTACAACAGAATAGTCAGATCTATTAGAAGGTTAGTTATAGTTAAGAAAAATAGTTATATATATATATATATGAATAATATTGTAGATGCTGGTTGGGAAGAATAGTTATAGATATACAAGAAGAATAGTTATAGTTATACAAGAAGAATAGTTATAGATATACAAGAAGAATAGTTATAGATATACAAGAAGAATAGTTATAGTTATACAAGAAGAATAGTTATACAAGAAGAATAGTTATAGATATATAAGAAGAATAGTTATAGATATACAAGAATGATAGTTATATACAAGAAGAATAGTTATACAATAAGAATAGTTCCAAGAAGAATAATTACAGATATATAAGAAGAATAGTTATAGATATACAAGAATGATAGTTATATACAAGAAGAATAGTTATACAATAAGAATAGTTACAAGAAGAATAGTTACAGATATATAAGAAGAATAGTTATATTTATATAAGAAGAATGGTTATAGATATCTTTATAAAGGAGAATGTTCTGGTGGAAAATGTAGACGATAAAAAAGGTCAGCGAGTTCTGCTTAACACTAACATAACGTTTTGTTTCTTCTTTGCAGATTGAAATGGGACAGAGGATGAAGTCTTACTCATTTAAACTAATATAAAACCATTTTTGTACTGAGGGGTCGAATTAGTATGTATGACTGCTAAAACAGCCTACGTTTTCATATCGTTTTGAGATACAACGTTCATTTAGGTTTCATTCGACTTGTTGTTGCTTTGTTTTGGATGGTTGTTGTGGTTGATGTTTGATTTGTTGGTTCTTGTGACCGTTGCTTTTGTTGATGTTTATTGTGATTGTGAACAACTTTTGACTTTATATTCTTAAAATGTGTTCAAAGTTCTCGAATAATTTGTGGGATTATTTTTAAAATTTATTTGATGCAAACGTATTTTTCTTTGTGCATTTTCGTTTTGTTTATATGAAATACAGAGTGCGTATCGTGTGGTGATTATTTATAGGTGAAAGGAGTAATGCAATCGATCAAGGTTTTGAAAAGAGTAGGTGGTAGAAAGAAAAATGTTGAAAACCCCTGCCTTCTTGTAAAATACAGGTACAAACCTTGACCTTGAATCTTGAATTTTGATGCCAGTTGATTAAAATTTTCCTAGATATCTCCGAAGTGTGTACAATACAATTAAAGTTTTGAAGTAGCAGAACGGGAAAATAATGATGTATAAAAGAATACCGTCTAGTCAGAGGCGTAACCTTTATTGGCTTGTAAGATATGTTAGTCCAGTTATCGACGAGTTATTTACTGTCATGTAACAGTGTTGTACACAGTAATAGCCCTGGTTGGGCAGGATTCTGGTTTCTTTTAAAGATACTAATTTCATTCTTAATCAAACTTACATAATCGAAAATATGAAATGAAATGTTGGAATTTATTTGCAATTAAATGAAGTTTACGTTTTCGATATCTTCACAGATTGATTTGATGTGGGTTTGGGGGGGGGGCTGTTATTTTGACTTTAAACTTGTTTCATGTGTAATATCAGAACAAAGAAGGAAATTGTCCATTTTCAAGCTTAAGAAGGGTACGGGGGCCTGCTGAAACGTTTTAAGTCAGTGTCGCTTGCTCGCAAACCAGAGTCCATGGTACAATCCAGGCTAAGGTTGATAATTTAATGCCTTAGGAATGTTCAATCCGGTTTCATTTCTGTTTATTGATACCTTTTATTTTTGATATAGCAAGTCAAGTTAGGGTCTACAGATATTGAAATATTTGTTGTTTTTTGTTTTCAAAATCCTGACTTGTTTCATCTGTCGATCACACGAAACTACGTTATTTGAACTATAAACATATTAGGCATTTTATCATGATAAACTTCATGAAGGACTATAATTAGATATTCGCTATTCGGTGGTATAGTGTTAAAGTTAAACAAGTCAAATGTTGTTTCTGCGTAAATAACATAAGATATGTATTTGTTACAAAAAAAGGCTAAAATAATCTCTTTAAAACAACGATTAGATTTGTGTTCATCATGTTGATATAGGAACGCAACATTGTTGAACAAAATATGCCAATAATATATCAGTGAATATAAACAATATCATTGATTATCCATTTTACGGGGCGCTTAACAAGTCAATGTAAATTTTGATCAGCTGTTGGGGCCTAATGACATATTTCAATATAAAGTCTATGGAGAAATATCCATGGTTCGACCTAGATTGGACTTTAAAAAAAAAAAAAAAAAAAAAAAAAAAAAAGGTATTTGAGTTCCGTTTTTTCTGACATGTCGAGAGGGTCAATGCGGATATTCCCTGTGAATTTCAGGTTGATAGCTTGCATACTTTGAAAGTTATAGCGTTTTTTCGATTTTGGCCAAATTTGCCTTGGTCCCCCAGGCTGAGCTTTTTGGGTTTTTTTTCGAAGTGTTTCCGATTTTGGTTTTATGTGTTTTTTTGAAGTCCCTTGGGTCCAAATGATAGGAAATGAGTAGAATTAGGCAATTCTGAGAAATTTCGATGCCGACCATTTTAGCCATTTTGGCTAAATTCAGAAAAATGCTAATTATTCCCAAACTAAGGCAGATATTCCGTTTTTTCTGACATGTCGAGAGGGTCAATGCGGATATTCCCTGTGAATTTCAGGTTGATAGCTTGCATACTTTGAAAGTTATAGCGTTTTTTCGATTTTGGCCAAATTTGCCTTGGTCCCCCAGGCTGAGCTTTTTGGGTTTTTTTTCGAAGTGTTTCCGATTTTGGTTTTATGTGTTTTTTTGAAGTCCCTTGGGTCCAAATGATAGGAAATGAGTAGAATTGGGCAATTCTGAGAAATTTCGATGCCGACCATTTTAGCCATTTCGGCTAATTTCAGAAAAATGCTAATTATTCTCAAACTAAGGCAGATAGATCGCAAAGGGGTCAATACAAAACATGTTTGAACAGAATAAAATCAGAGAGATGAAATCCTAATTAAAGGTACGGAACTCTGTTTAAGCAAGTCAAAATGATTTATTTGACTGTGTTCTGAAGCCTTCGTGTAATTGTGATTTTTTGGTATTTTCCGTTATTGTATAGGCAAGCTTGTTAATTCAGGACAGAGGTCCTTGCGAAAATTGCCGAGAATATCCGAATTATGTAATCGGGATTACTGATATTGTTCGTTATTGGATAGGCAAGCTCGTTTTTATCAAGACAGAGGTCCTTGCGAAAATTGCCGAGAAAACCCGAATGATGTAATCGGGATTACTGATATTTTTCGTTATTGGATAGGCAAGTTCGTTTTTTTCAAGACAGAGGTCCTTGCGAAAATTGTCGAGAAAACCCGAATGATGTAATCGGGATTACCAATATTTTCCGTTATTGGATAGGCAAGCTCTTTTTTTTCAAGACAGAGGTCCTTGCGAAAAATCCCGAGAAAACTCGAATGACGCAATCGGGATTGCCGTAAATTGACTCAAACTCTGTCCACATTTTTACCGTGATTGCCTAAAATCGTGGTAAACCACGTAAAACCCCTTTTCTTCTCATTTTTATGATGATTGCTTGAAATTTGCAGCACCTCAATGACACAAATTGAATAAGATTATATTCTACTTTTTTGACTCAAAAGTTTTGACAACAATTGTTATATTTTTGGAAATTTAATTCATTTGCAATCTAATCTGAATTTCATGAAATTTTCGGGCCATTTCCAAACTAAATGTCGCACTAAACTACACTTAATTATGACAGCTATATACTGTCTTTTTTTAAGTGCAACGGAAGGATTTAACGCAACCGTCTATAGACCAACCCTGTAGATTCGACATTTCAATTTATATATTAAAAACTAAATAAATCTCATCAAATTTGATTAAATGATAAAAAACAAAAACTTTGAGCTGATAGCTTCTTAGTTTTCGTTTGTCAGAATAAGCTATAAAATCTTGTTCGTCTTCGAATTATTCTTGGGAGCCACGGTGGCTCAGTGAGTTAGACGCTTACTCGCTAACCTGAAGGTACAGGATTCAATCCCGGCATAGGTCAAGATGATACCTTCAGACTTTTCAACCCGGTTTCCCCCTGCTAGTGATGCAGTGATGCATGGAAAAAGCGTCTAGTCGTTTGAATGGGACAATAAACTGAGGCCCTGTGTGCTACAGGCTGTGCACGTTAAAGATCCCTCGACAGTTGGAAATCGTAAAAGAGCAGGCTAATGCCGCTGTCCTGGCAAAATTTCCCTCATTGCACCCTGTATGGCGTTGCCCGTCTTCATTAGTGCACAGAAAAGTAGGACGTAAAACTCCATTTCATTTCGAATTATTCTTATATGCAGTGCGATACAGATTAATTGTCTCTAACCACAATGGTGTTAAAATTATCCCCCTTTGACCACATGCAAATTCTATTGAGCCACACGGCACGTGCTGGACGATAAATTAAAAATGGATGCTAAAGGTGATCTGAAATTGATTCCAGAATTCGGTGTATTGAACGTTATAGAAACAGTTTTACGAAAGGTCGGTTAAACAATTTTAAAACCAACTTTGAGACTTTGGTCTGCTAGAATAGAATGCTAGATTATTATGACACATTCAGTAATAATTTCAATTTCATAGAAGCATAGTCCGAACCTTTCTGTACTCTCTAGTGTTGATGTTTGTCAAATGTATTCATTTGTTCATTCATGATTTTCAGAAACATGTTTCGGCTGGATGAGATGAGTAAATTTATCTCGAGTCAAAGATGTTTTGAATTCCTTTAAAACAACATAAGACTTAATTCGAAACGTTTTGATCTTTCTCGTCATTCATTCATTCATTCATTCATTCATTCATTCATTCATTCCTGCATGTATTTAAAGAGCAAGTTATTTCATCTTTTTCATTTATTTATTTATTCCTTCATATATTCATTCATTAACGTATTCATCATTCACTCATCATTATTTGGATGTTTGTATCTAAGTAACGTGTCGGCAGCATCAAATGAGTCGGGTCTTCATATTGTGAACTTTTCACGGTGTTTCTCGTCTCGAATAATTTGCTCACAAACCTCACGTACAACCAGTGTGGTATCTGAATAGCATTTTGTCGATTATTTGTAATTGTTGTAATGAGCAATATTTTAACAGTGAATGTATTATATCATTTATTTCATTGGACCCGAAAACATTCTTAAACAAACGAAATTAATTTTGTTTTGAGTATTTATACAATGGCAAAGTAACTCTTCTGTCTTCGCATATTCGTCGCTGAATCGATTTTTCGCCGAAGTTAAATTTCTTTTAAATTGACTAAAAGTTATCAGTACAATGTTGAACGTGATATTCTAATTATTCGAATTTACGTAAAAATAATTCATAAAATTTGATTTACCAACGAATGTGAGAAGACAGTAATTCAGATATTACAGGGGGCGTACAATAATTTGGAAAGTTTGAATTGTCAGCTGTCCTGATGAGGATTTTATATCCGAAACACGTATTGACAAAGACGGATCAGCTCATGTCAATCTACTATGATTGCGAATATATTGGATTTACATTTGGCGTGAATGATGTTCGACGTCATAATTTGGTTAAATGTGTCTGAAAGAAAGGAACATTAAACCACAAAATTCGGTAATGGTGCAACACATTTTAATTTGACTGCCTTTAAAACAAACTCTTCAACATGGATTATTGATTTCTCTTACAGACCATACTCAATGAAATATAATCTTCCGTTGACCACGAGTAAATTATGTAAATGAAAAATCTACTTGCTTGTTTTAGGGTATGTGGATTCTAATATTGAAGGACACCTTAAGTATTGAATATCATTTAAAACAGTTATGTGAAAGGTAAGAAAATTAACTTAATATCAGATGGTTTTCCCCTTTTCCAATCAAGTTGTCCTGATGAATATTTTATATCCGAATCTTGTATGAAAAATGTCAATACAAGGTCGAATCTGTGTGTAAGTTAAGAACCTTAAACCATATACGTCGGAATTCAGAATGGTGCAATTGTCGCTCTAAGCACATAATCAAAAGCTAGAAAACCGTAAAATATGGATTGTCGATTTCCACACTCAATTGAAATTGTCTCCCTTTGACCACGGGTAAACTTTGTTAATGAACACTGAACATTCTTGTGTATTCTAGTTTTGAAAGAAATCCTTCGTATTGATATCATTGACAAGAGTTATGTATAAGGTAAGCAAATTTATTCATTCATTGCCCTGATACTGTATAATTCACCAGATGTCCTGGTGAGGATATATCCGAAATTTGTATGGACATAGTAAGATCAATTTATGTAGATTGGATAAGGTTAACAATATAATTAATTCCACATAAACAGTGGTACTGATTGGCATTGGTCTTCGTGAAAATCTTTCTGAAAAAAAGGAACCTTAAAGAACAAACACCGGGCGGAAATTCTGAATGGTGCGATTTTGTCACTAAACACATTCTAACAAAATGCAAAGCATCAAAGTAATTATAAAACTTTGACCACCAGTAAACTTTGTTAATGAACACTGAATTCGCTTTTTGTAGGGTATATAAATTCTAATTTTGAAAGAAAAGTGTGTATTAAGCACAGGTTATGAAAGTTATGCCCATTCTTGCATTAATTCATTCATTCCGTACTTACTAAAACATGAACCGACCAGAAACGACCAAGAAACGACCAGAAACGACCAGGAAACGGCCAGTGAAAACGTGAAACGACCCGGAACCGAGAAGAAAAACGACCAGGAAACGACCTCAAACTATTTTGCAATGAATTCTACGCATGTTAATCAGGCCGAAAAATCATCAATCATTTTTTAAAAAGTAAGTTCGTTTTGAAGTTATTTAGGGGAATAGGACTGCGTTCATAATCTTTGCTACCAGTATAATGTCGTTAAGTTGACCTTTTACCAACTTAATGAATTAGAGTGTCCCTTTAAACTTAACGGAAACACGATTGTTAAATTTGTTATACAATGTTCTACATCAAAATGGGTGTTGGTTATGTGCGTTATATCACAGTCAAAATGCACTCAGCTGTGAAATATGAAAGACAAGGTCATAAAGCGAATTTCTTCCGGATGCACATTTTTTTAAAATGATTGATGATTTTTCGGCCTGATTAACATACTTAGAGTTTATTGCCAAATAGTTTGAGGTCGTTTCCTGGCCGTTTTTTTGCTCGGTTCCAGGTCGTTTCACGTTTTCATTGGTCGTTTCCTGGTCGTTTCTGGTCGTTTCCTGGTGGTTTCTGGTCTGTTCATGTTTTAGTAAGTACGCGTTTACTTATTCAATCAGTTTTAGTTAACCCAGTTTTAGAAAAGTATCTGGAAATGTGCTCTTGCAAATGAAGATTTGATTTTATTTCTTCATATTTTTTTCATTTTCATTGAACGATGAACCGTGGTTTTGAAAGAAAGCTTGTATAAGGAACGTCAGTTTTAAAGATAAGTAAATTCATTCGTTCATTACTTCCTTCCCTCTTTCATTCATTTATTGTGCCTATTAAATCCGATTCCAAAACCAGTCTGTGAGCTCATTCGTTCGTTCATTCGTTCATCCATTCCAACGTTTTCAAGCCAAGCCAAAATGAATATTCGTTACCTTAAACAAGCGTTCTTGGCATATGCTAGTTCTCATTTAATTTGATTACATTTCATGACAATTGGTGCTGATGTGGATGGCCAAGACATAGTTTTAGTTTTGAAATAAGTTGAGTGTATTAAACATAAAGAAAAACAGCTTTACGTAAGGTAAGCCCTTTACATAATATTTGAAACATTAAACGTTGATCTGAAATTTATTTTCATCCCTTCAGTGCTATCATAGATTTGATTGATGTTATATATATAGATTAATCACATTTCTATGGGGCATGCCATACCTCCTTCTTCAGATTCTTTTCTCTTATTCCCATAGATATTATTTTCTAGTTATTCTATTTTCCGAGTCCTGGATC